AAATGAATTTATTTGGGGTTTTAAGAATAGACACGTGGTAACTACTTTTCGGAACTAACGATGGTCTTGGATAAAGTTTTTAAAAATCTTTAACTAAATAAAATGATGTAGGAGTGATTGTTGGACTATACTACAACGAAATGAACAGAATGTTTGCTAATGCTTATGCAGTTCACTTACCCATGCTTTGGCAATTTACCCTATCAAGGCAAAACCCTCTGTATAGATGAATATAATTTTAATTATAGTATAAATTGACTACTATCATAGCCTATTTTGTTCGCTTACTTTCATTTATGTTGCATGAATCAGAACGCTTTTTATTCCTTCAATATAACCTAGTTTTCAAATGATCCCAAATTTTACTATTACATCATGCAACAGTTCCATTAGATTATATACGACATAATTTGCACTGTCACTATAAAACAACCTTCCACTATTATAATATTCATTATATCTTAATGTTTATTAAACATATAAGCTAACAGAAGGCATAAAGATCAAGATGGTGTTGCCTTTAGTATCTTCGTAGTCTTATTTCTTTCTATAGAGGTTGCCTGACCTTGAATTCACAAATTGTTCGTAGTGTCAAGAAGACCTAGAGGACCGCACCTTTCGCGAATGATTATTATGAATGATCACGCTTAAATTAGTATGTGTTTATTTGGGAATTTACCCGCGGCCAATCTTATCATTGATAATTGCTCCTTTGTTATGATGTCTATATGCAATAGGGGTATTATGAAAATAAAACCAGGAAGACTAATAAAAGTGGGTATGGCTGTCGTCTAGAGAACTGAGTGAGAAAGTGCGACAGTTACTAAGACTGTTGATCATGATGAGGAAGAGAGCGCTATCATAAGCTTACTGACGCAACACAAGGTGGGCAAACTGAATTACAAGGGAGTTCACGGCCCGACGCTTGAAAGTATCATGGATCCTACAGCATAGGACTCAGAAAAAGATGCGTTTTTCTATTTCTCTCTGAAAATACGCCCAAGTTACGAAAGATAGAACAAACCACGTCTATACAATGAGAGAAGATGGTGAATATAATAGAGGTCACACCATCTTAGTCCTCATACCCTCGACTACATAGTATTATATATTCCCTCCACGTGGCTATCAATCAAAGGAACACTCACTAACTCAACGTCACTCTTATCAGTTTTACGAGTATTTCCTCTTTGCTGCTCTTACTGCTTAGAGGTTGTAGCCCCCTCGTGGAAACGTCCGACTAGCTCCACAGTAGAATTGCAATCGGCCCCAGTAACTTCTGTAGATGGTGCCTCTCTCTCCCGAAATTCTCAATTGATTATCCCGTCTGCTTTCCATCTGCGCAACACCGTCAACATTTCACTTGTCCATCATCGTTTGCAGTTTAAGGATCTTCTCGCAATTGAAGGCTTCCGATAGGAGATGCAGGATTCTGGTCTTAAGTCATAATGATGAGTGCACATCTGTAGCGTTTTCTTTGAGTCTAATAACAATCAAATCATGGAATACGCCCACAAAATCTCTCTTAGGTTTATATGGCAATTTCGGCACAAAATCTCGAGATGATTCAAGTGAAGAGAAAAGTTTCACCATTACGATCCGGTATTGAGGGTGGAGTAATGTCGAAAGTGAAGTCCACTCCAGCCGGGAAGAGATAGTTGTTTGGGCTATAAGGCAGGTGGACTTGAACGGTATTATGAGGCCCGCTCATCTCATCACGTTCAGTTTTGAAGTCACCCTAATCAACCGAACATTTAAACAAGCAGGTCTTTGAAGTGAAAGCATTTAGGGAAGAGCCGGCTTGTCTTTTTGACCTGGTATTAGCGTCAGATCGAGCCGATCAGGCGAGAAGACAGCCGGGAGGTCAGGTAAGCTTCACCTGATCCGAATGAGGACGATACCTCCACGGCAGAGCCGGAGGGGAGATAGGGAGACAGGGAGACAGGCATACAGATAGACATGTGGACAGGCATGCTAGCGAGATGGCGCCAGATTTTTGATGGCTCCATTAAGAAGAGGCCAGGGGGCTTGTTGGGGATTGAGCCAATCAAGCAAGAGTAGACCCGGCCTACACTGTGCTTTGGTTGGTCGGTTCGTCCCTCTACTCTTATTGGTCTACAGCCCGAACGGCTGACGCATCCTCTGGCCGGCGGTTTTTCACTGTGCATGTGTGTGTGTGTGTGTTAATGTAGAGGTGTGTAGGTGTGGTGGCGTCAGTGGCAGTTACTCGTCCCCTTCACAAAGAGGCAAGAGGACGTAGGCCCTCGTTGTCTCCGCGATGGCGCTGCTTGGTCTGCTCGTGCTATTGCAGCTGCGGTTGTTCGTCTGCATTTTTTGCCTTCAGCACGGCCTGCAGGCCCGGGCCGTCGAGCACCTGCCGGCGCCGGGCTGTCGGTGCTTCAACGTGTCTGCTGCAGACGCGTCCGAGGGGCCGGATCGAGCCGGCCTGGTGTGTGAGTGTGCTGGATGGCAAAAGGCGGCGGGCAGCTGGAGCGACGCGTTCGCCTGGGCCAGCCTGCGGCAGGCGTGCACCGACACACCGACGGCCCTGCTCGACCTGCGGCTGGTGGACCTGCCGTCCGGGGTCGATCGACCCGGCCGGCTGCCGGAGGCCGGCTGTGATTGGTCGCGCCGCCTGGTCAATCTGTCAGTGACCGGCGGACTGACCGGCCTCGAGGCGGCCGGCTTCGCAGGCCTGGCGCGCCTGCGCCGGCTCAGTCTGTCGCGGCACGCCCGCCTGACGGACTACGGCGAGGCGGTGTTCGCCGGCCTGGCCGGCCTCGTGGAGCTGGCGGCTGTGGGGAACCCGGTGCGCTCGCTGGCCAAGACGACGCTGCGCGGGCTGGCCGGCCTCGAGGAGGTCGTGTTCTCCGCCAACCGGCTCGGCTTCCTGCCGGCCGGCGTGTTCGCCGAGGCCTGTTGCGCCGGTCTGCGTCGCCTCCGGCTCGACGGCAATCTGTTGACAGTGCTGGAGGCCGACCTGCTGACGGGCCTGTCGCGTCTCGAGGAGCTGGACCTGCGCGGCAACCCGATCCAGCGCATGGACACGGGCCTGTTCGCGCCCTGCCGCGACAGCCTCGTCCGTCTCCGCGTCAGCCACGACGACCGGCTCGCTTTCGGCGGCTTCCCTCGTCTGGCCGACGGCCTACTGCGCGACTTGCGTCGCCTCCGTCTCCTCCAATTGGACGAGCTTAAACTGACCCATTTCGGACCGGACGACCTCGTCGGCCTCGTCAGTCTCGAGGA